GTTTGCCTTGCCTGTGGCTCTCCTGGGTTTGATTTCTTGACATTCCATATGGTCCCCTGACTACCACCAGGAGTGATTCCTGAGTGCAGAGCCGGAAGAAAGCCCTGAGCTTCTTTGAGTCTGACCAAAAAAGCCAGAAAAAAGTAGGAAATTTAAAAGCAAGATAACAAAATAAAAAACAATGAAAAGAAACCATGAGATCAATAAAGTGGATAAAAGTAACTAATATAAAAAATGTATTTTTTAAATGATCGAGGTTATTGAGTTAGAAATAAAGTTGAGGGCGCTGGAACAATAGAACAAAGCATTTGCTTTGCATTTGACCCTTCCGATTCAATCCCCATCATCCCAGGTGGTCCCCTGAGCAATGCTCAGGGGATTCCTGAGTGGAAAGCCAGGTGTATCCCCTGAGCATTGCCAGCTGTGGCACAAAAACAAATTAGAAATGAAGTTCTCACTATAGACTTCTCATCCTCCAAAATAACAGGAGGATCATCAGGAACTACTGCTATATCACTTGATCACTTGACTTCCCATTAATCTTCGATTTGCTCGAGCGGGCGCCAGTAACGTCTCCATTTGTCCCTGTCGCGTGCTAGTGTAGCCCAATGGCATCTGTTCACTCCGGGAACATGAAGGGCCTCAAACCGATCGTTCATGATCTTGATGAAGAAGTCTGACCATCTGGTAGGTGGGCAGCCACGCGGTCTTTTGACATCCCATGGAATCCAGTCGGTAACAGCTCTAGTCCAGCGGTCGTCTTTAAATCTCATTACGTGACCAGCCCATCTGATTTTTGACACCTTGGCAAACGAGACAGACTGCTATATAAGTGTAAATCAAAAGCTTTGGTGAAAAAACCCTTTTTTCCTTGCCCCACCCAGTAACACTCAGGGTTTACTCCTGGCTCTGCACTTAGGGCGTCACTCCTGGCAGTCCTCTGGGAACCATATGGGATACCAGGGATTGAACTCAGGTTGGCTGCATGCATGGCAAGCACCCTACCTGCTGTACTATCACTTCAGCCCCTGGATCTATTGAAAACTACACAGGTTAACAAAACTTACCCCAGAGCAGAAGCAATAGTGCGACCCAAAATAAATAATAATAATAATTATTTAAAAGCTTATCCCAAAATGAACAGATAACCTAAAGTCCTATATGTTTGTTTTTATCAGCAGAGAAGTAAGATAAAATAAAAGACCCAAACATGAATTTAAAAACTGAAACATACATCCCTGAAATTTAAAATTCTCTTGGCAGAAGGCAGGCAACAGGGAAAGAATTGGTAAACTACAAATTAGAGTCCTTATTATTTTCCTCCTTACCTACACTTAATACTTCTTTTATTTTGCTTTTTGGGTCATACCCGGAGATGCACGGGAGTTACTCCTGGCTCTGCACTCAGGAATTACCCCTGGTGGTGTGCAGGGGACCATATGGGATGCTGGGAATCGAACCCGGGTAGGCTGCGTGCAAGGCAAACGCCCTACTCACTGTGCTATTGCTCCAGCCCCTACAATTGATACTTTTAAGGTATCTTACTACTTCCAAATGGTATTCCTTTTCGGTGGAGAGGGTCAAAAAATCGTGGTCAGGACTTGCTGCTGGCTCTGTGCTCAAAGATCACTCCTGATGGGGCTCGAGGGTTGAGCCCAGAGTGGCTGGGCACAATGCAAGCACCCGATCCACTGCACTATCTCTCCAGTCCCTAAATGAAACTGTTCCTTTCATAGAAGTCATTGACTATTTTTTGGAGGGCAGCTTTTATTTAGCTGGTAGATTCAGACCTGAGAAAATTCAGAACTGAATTACAGAATGACATATGAAAGAGGGGATACCATGGACAGCTCCCAGTTTAAGTAGAGATAAGTAGGTGGTGAATGTCAGCACTGAGTTTCTTAGGATTTGAATCCTATGAGTTTGACCACAAGCCTACCTATTATATCCTAGCTCCTGGCATTTACTTTGTCAATTTAGTTCTTTGAACTCCTGTTTCCTCATTGGTAAAATAGTGATTCCTCATTGATAAGATAGGGAATAGATATTAAATATAAAATATGCATTAAATATAAAAAGTATCAAAACTGGAGCTGGAGCAATAGCACAGTGGGTGGCGCGTTTGCCTTGCATGTGATCAACCTGCGTCCAATTCCCAGCATCCCAAATGGTCCCCCAAGCACCGTCAGGAATAATTCCTGAGTGCAGAGCCAGGAGTAACCTCTATGCACTGCCTGGTGTGATCCTCACCTCCACCCCCCAAAAAAGAGTACCAAAACATGCAATTTTCAGTATAATTGCTCATTTTTCTTGTCATGTAAGACCGCAATTAAAGTTAATAAAAGAAAGTCCTTGAACAAAAAATGTAACTTGGGGCCAGAGAGATAGTGCTGTGTTAGACATTTGCCTTGCATGCTGTCTATGTGGTTCGATCCCCAGCGCTGGATATGGTCCCCTGAGCACAGAGCCAGGAGCAAGCCCTGAGCACTGCTGGGTATGGCCCAAAACAAAAGAAAAAAGAAGTATATCTTGGGGATAATGTTAAAGCCCTGGTATAAACCCTAAGTCCCAAGGTCCTCAGACCTTTTCACTAGTCAAAGGAGCCCTGGGCTGGGGGCTGGATGGCAAAATATCTCTGCTCCGACATGTTCACCTTGCACTAGGGGCATCCCTGCATCAACCCTGCAATCTCTTTGTTTTTGGATCACAACCAGTGGTGCTCAGGGATCACTCCTGATAGTGCTTGGGAGACCATATGGAGTTCCTGGGATTGGGTCAGCCACTTACAAGGCAAGCATCGTATCTGCTGTACTATCTCTCTGATCCCTCAGGAGTCATTCTCTGTTTTCTTGGCACCCCTCTTAACCCTCTTGGTTAAAATCTTTGGCAGAGTTAATTATGTACCAATCATGCCTCCTCAGTGTGTTTTGCCTGCCCCTGACAAGTTTCTCTGTGGCTGGATTTCTTCCGTTTGTGGAGGAACTTTTTATTTCCCTGTTGGGCTTTGTCTGATCTTGGCCAAGGATTTCCTTGTCCCTGATGCATAGCTGTAAGCTGCCTTCCTTGCTCCCCAGAGCTTTATTCTTATACTCTCGTATCAAACTTTAACCCAGTTTATAGGTCTGTTGATGCCTCTGACTTTTTGCACCATTTTTTAAAAATTTTATTGAATCACCGTGAGATAGTTACAAGCTTTCATGTTTGGGTTACAATCACACAATGATCAAACACCCATCCCTCCACCAGTGCACATTCCCCACACCAATATCCCCACTATACCCCTCTTTCCCACCCTCCCTCTGCCTCCATGGCAGACATTATTCACTATAATCTCTCTCTACTTTTGGGCATTATGGTTTGCAATACAGATCCTCAGAGGTTATCATGTTTGGTCCTTTATCTACTTTCTACACCTTTTACAAGCCCTGTTTTGAGTAGTAGTCTCTCTTTTATGCCTTAATCTGCATCTAATTAACATTTAATTTCTCCATGAGACTTTATTTCACCTATACCTGGTAATGTCAAGGTGTCTCTGGGAATTGAACCATACTTGAGCCAAAGACGGAGTCCTGTTGGACTATGAACCAACAGTCAGCCACCACCCTAAGAGGGGCAGGTCCTCCCAGGAGAGCACTTGTGAGAGTGGAATGCAGCGAGTCCATCCTGGCATCAAATACTAATTTTTATCTGTTTCTAGTTTGTTTTGTATTTATATCGGTATTAACACGGGGTTAGCATTCTCACATATGGAATGCCCAGGGATAGAATCCAGGTTGGCAGCTTGCAAGGCAAGCACCCAAGCCTACCCGCTCTCCTATCTCTCCAGCCCTTTGGCCTTTCTCTTTGGAAGACAATCTGGTAATCATCTCTGTTACCCCACTGGGCCCTTGGTACAATTGGTGGAGTTGTAAAATTTGTTTATTCCTGCCCCCACGCAATACACTCAGTTTCTTCCTGGGAGTCACACACTCTTCTGTTTTTGTTGCTTGGCAGAGATTCGCTGTTGTGTGTATGGCAAATGCCTACCTTCTGTACTATCTCTTGGTCCCTCATTTTAGGTTTTTTTTTATTTTTTAAAGATTTATTTTTAAATCTTATTTAAAATTTTATTTATTTATTTTTATTTTTAAATTTTTGTTGCTTTTTTGGGGTCAAACCAGCGATGCTCAGAGGTTATTTCTGACTAGCAGTCAGGAATTACTCCTGGCAGTGCTGGGGGGATGCGGGGGATGGAGGAACCTGGGTCGCTGCATGTGAGGCAAACACCCAACCCACTGTACTATGGCTCTGGTCCCCATTTTAGGTTATTTTTTTAGTTCCTCCAAACAATTTTAAACTGTCCATCCCCCTGTCGAACAGGTTCCTCATCTTTGTACACGTAGGAACTTAAAAAAAATAGATCTCACACACACACACACACACACACACACACACACACACACACACACACAGTCCCCAAGGCAAACACTCCCCAAGGCAAACACCCCAGATCACTGAGACTCCTGATAAACACTTTCAAAAGGAAAAAAGAGGTGGTGCCGTCAGAAGAGAAATCTCTCCGCAGCCACAGCATCTTTCAGGAGATGACCAAGCCCTAGGCGATCGTGAAGTGTGACCCGCGTGTCTGTTACCACGCCAACACACAGCATTTTCCTGACGGCCCGAATCTTCTAATTCTGCACCTGCACGGGAGTGGGGTCGGGCGTGGGCCCTGCTCCCGCCGGCCAGCGCCCCCGCGCGCCGCGGGTCCACCCGCAGCCCCGGCGGCCGCAGGTGAGTCCGAGGCGCGCGCCCCACGGGAGGAGGGAGATGGGACGGGGCGGGCCGGGGTGGGGGCGCGGGGCCGGGCGCCCGGAGCTGCCCGCCTCGGCCGCCGCCTCTGCAGCCCTCGCCCCTGCGCCGCGAGCCGCGTGGGGCCGGGCCGGGGCGGAGGCCGGCGGACCGCGGAGATGCGGGGCGGGGGCAGGGCGCGGGGTAGGTGACTTTCTCCCGCCTCTGTTTCCCGGCCCCGGGGAGCAATGACATCACGCGGCCTGCTCGCGGCGCCGACACAAAGAGCCGCGCCGAGTGGCCGCTGCGGGGGGAGCCGGCGGCCGCCGCTGCCGCCCGGGCCCCGGGGCCCCGCCGGGCCGGCCCACCGCCCGCAGCCCGCGCCCTTCCTCTTCTTCTTCCTCCTCCTCCTCCTCCTCCTCCTTCTCCTCCTCCTCCTCCTCCTTCTTCTCCTCCTCCTCCTCGGCCGCCGCCCGCGCCGCCCGCGCCTCCCGCGCGCTGCTGAGCCCGCGCCCGGCCGCGCCGGCCCCTTCCCATGCGGGCGGCGCGGGCCCTGGGAGGGGCGCCCGCAGTCAGCCGCGCAGCATGCACTGGGGGGTTGGCTTTGCTTCGTCCAGGCCGTGCGTGGTGGATCTGAGCTGGAACCAGAGCGTCTCTTTCTTCGGCTGGTGGGCCGGGTCCGAGGAGCCCTTTTCCTTTTATGGGGACATCATCGCTTTCCCTTTGCAGGATTACGGTGGGATCATGGCAGGGCTGGGCTCCGATCCCTGGTGGAAGAAAACCCTTTACTTGACCGGGGGAGCTTTGCTGGCCGCAGCTGCGTATCTGCTCCACGAACTCCTGGTCATTAGGTGAGCCGGCGAGAGGGCCCCGCGCAGGCCGGGGCGCGATGGTGGTGTGGGTGGAGGTGGTGGTGGGGGAGTGGGGGGACCGGTCCTTGCCCCTGGGTCACGCCGCCCAGATGCCCAGCCGGCCGGTCCTTACCTCTCCCAGGAAGGCAGCCGGTGGTGGTTACCTGGCCTTGAAGGAGCGCTTTAGAGTTGACAAGAGACTTAAACTGGTACTAGGAGGGAAGAACATCATGGGTCCTGCAATCTTTGGGTGCTAAAAGAAAAAAATGTTCTGGACTCCAGGGAGTATTATGAAATGCTCTTGGGAAGCGCCCTGAGAGCAACAATAAAATTAGGTTCCGTAGAATATTAAATCGTACTTTTATGAGATGCTTTATTGACTTACAGGGCAATGCTGCGGGTAAACCGACCACTAACCTTGTCTTTTGCTTAAAGGTTAGTTCTCCAGATGCCTCCCCAAGCGTCAGTATCATCAAAGACTGAAATTGCAAAAGCTGCAGGAACCCTTGGGTCCCCGGTGAAAGATGCATACCAAGTGTGGTGGGGGGCAGTTTTGATGCAGGCTTAACCTGGTTGTCTGCTAATATTGTCTTTTAAACTGGACCTCCATGCTGTTTAAATGCCATTGTTGGGTGAGCAGCAGCAGATGAGCTGATGCGATTCCCACATGGGTGGAGAACACGGGAGTCGCCCGTACCCGTAAACAGAGGCACCTTCTGCCTGCCGCAGGGTGTTTACAGGATGGATTTGGAGATGCCAGAAAATGGAGGCCCCAGCCATTGTTAGAGCCAACTGGACAGGAGAACATTGTTGGAGGAGGGTTTTGTCCTTCAACTAACGGCATTCTGTTTGTTTAATTCATCCGTTTAAGGTTAGAAAGTCTTTGGAATGCCTTGTCACTGGGTGATAAAGGGAAATGGATGATTTTCAATAGCTTAGAGTGTTTCTTTCAGCCTGTTTTTCTATAGAAGGAAAAATATTGTCCTTTTTCCATTGAGGAAATCTTACAGTATTGGTTATAAACAAATACAGTGATGAGTGACCTTTATCGGACTGCAGGGATTCCAGGAGGACGTTGTGACAGCCTGCTGAGAGGTTTTGAATATTTCTCTTCTCTGGGAAGCAGAGAAAGCAATTTGGCCTGGGGTGGGGGAGGATATGTGTTGGTTTTCATAGTATTTAACCACAGTTGAGAAGTTTTGTTTTAAACCTCTTTGGATTCTCTCACACCGGACAGTGCCTTGAAGGTTGCCGAGGGGAATAAAAAATATTTAAGTAATTTATTATTTGATTATTTTTATATTTATGAGCTTTAGGACTCTGTTTCAAGTAAGTTAGATTTCCAGCTAGATGAAAAAATGAAAAATGTGTGCAACAAATTTAAATGGAAGCCTAGTTATGTCTCAGTTATATTCTAAATCCTGAACCATGGGGCTTCTCACCATTTTTCCACTTTGTGGTGAAAGTGAAGGAAGATACAGATTCACTGAGGGCCTGTGTCAAAACCTTGCTTAAATGACCTTGTAGAATTTTCGGGGACCTCAGAGCTTATCCTGGGAGCAGGCCACACCCTGGTAGGTGTGGTTGCTGCCTAAGGATATGCCCTTTCTTAGGGTATATCCTAGGATATGTCCCAAGACTACTTGATAATTTAAGGGGTATGGAGCATAGGAGAGGGGCAGGATAAGTGCTTTTAAGTCCTTGGTTTATTCACTTATTTTTTTTGACAGATATTTGAGCTAGAATGCTCAGTTATAATACAGATAATAAAAATGGTTGCCCATTTGGGGGCTCAGAATGTGAGTGCTTCAGTGATCTGATTGCATTTCTCATTCATAGCTGTCTCAATGCTCTTACCCTGATAGCATTTCCTAGCTGAGAAAGAGCAACCTGTCAGGATGGCACAGTAAGCTTAGCCATCTCAGATTTAAATCTGGGTGTCAGTAGAGCCTGCACTTCTGAGCACTGCGTCCTGTCAAGTCCCAATTCTAGAGTAAGTTTGCATAGGAAGAAAGGTAGAGAAAGGTAGGGGCATTGTTCTGGGAAGAGGGAGCTTTTGACTGCCCCTAAGAGGCCCAGAGGGATGGAGAAAGAAAGTAGGAAAGATGGGCTCAGAGAGGCAGAAGTTACCTGAGAGAACTCCATTTCAGGTAGGTACCATTGTGTCTCATTGCTGTGTGTTTCATTACAGTTGTCTGTGGAGTTTAGGCAAAATACAAAGTAATGTGAAATATGTGGAATGGAAAATTTCCTGGGTACAACCAAATTCAGAGACCATCATAAGGTCCTTACTATTCTGCTATTCTGCTACATTGATTCAGGCTTATTTTATGTCTATGTCTCCGGGGTGGGAAACTAGTAGGTGAAAAGTACTTCGGAAGTTTAATTAATGAGTGTAACTGAAGTAGGTATTTTGGATTTTATTCCCCATTTGCTAAGGGCTGTGCTTACTCTTGTCTTACTCCTGGCTCTGCGCTCAAGGATTATCCTGGCTGTGTCAGGGATCCAACCTTGCAAGGCAAGTGCCTTCACCTCAGTGCTATCTCTCCGCCCTGGTACTGTGGATTCTATTCATGTTTTTTTTTTCCAGATATGCTTGAAACAAATGTATACTGTCCTCTTTTTTTTTCCGTATGCTAATAGAAGTTATCTTAAATTCACTCTGACTTTTGGAAATGTCAGTAACTAGAATGAGTAAGTAATCACTTGCTTCCCAGTAGCAACCTAAAAAGTCATTAGCTTTTTAGGCAAATGGATTCAGTCAGTCCTAATCAGAGCTTCTTAACTTTATTTATTGATGAACCATTTTCCCTGAGAAATTTTTATACAGCCCTGGGTAGGTAGGTATATAGGTATATACATCAAACATTGATAATAAGCCAGAAAGAAATTTATTTAAAAATTTTGAAAAAGTGATGAGACACCATTAGGGTTGCAAACCACAGTTTAAGAAGCTTCACCTGGAGCCGGAAAGATAGTACAGTGGATAAGATATTTTGATTTCACATCACTGACCTGGGTTCAATACCCAGCATCCCATATGGTCCCCTGAGCACAAGCAAGAGTAGCTCCTGAGTGCAGAGCCAGGAGTAACCCCTTAGCATCACTGAGTGTGGCCCCCAAATGAAAATAAACAAACAAAAAGATCACAGACAAAGTCACATGCAGCTCCCCCTCCAAAAAAAGAAAAAGGAACTGCGTCCTAGAGAATTTAGGGAATCTAAGCATTGGTCAGCATTTGATCCTCATAAGCCAACAGCTTACCAGTGTGTTGGCAGGTGTGGTCATCTGTGATGTCCTTTATCACAGAAATAGGTGCGAATCTTGTTCTATGAGTTGTCTTATACTCCTTGCATTATGAGGCCACTTCCTAAAATTTAACTTGGAAACTTTCCCCTTCTTTTCTGATCATATTAGAAAGATCATTTCTGATGTGTGGAGGGAGGGCTTCAGAGCCAGACTGGGTTCAGATTCACTCCACCTTTTTTTTTCTCCCAGTGCAAGGATTGAACCCAAGCAGGGCCTCATATATGTAAGCAAGTGCTTAGCCACTGAGCTACATCTCCAATTTTCTTTAAAAAACCATGTAGACTTGGGTGCAAATATATATATATATATATACATATATATATGTATATATATATATAGTTGTTGTGTGGATTTTGGGCTATATGCTGCAGTAATCTCAGGGCACTGGTTCTACACTCTGGTTCTACACTCAGGAGTCACTCCTGGTAGTGTTTGGGGCCCATATAGAATGCTGGGAATTGAACCCAGGTTGGCCATATGGGATGCCGGGGATCAAACCCATGCAAGGCAAGCGCCCTCCCTGCTGTACTATCTCTCTAGCCTCTGGATATGAGTATTCTTGGCTACTCACTTTTCTTATCTGTACAATTGGAGTACTAGTTGCCCTCCTCATAGTTGTTAACTCAAGTTAACACTTGAAATGTCCTTGATACATTGTGAGCATTTTGTACAAGTTGGTCTTCCTGTATTTATTTTGGGAGAGATGCACACCCTGCGGTACACAGGGCTTATTCCTGATTTTGCATGGAGGGATCATTCCCATTGGGCTCTGAGCACCTTCTGTGTGCAGGGCCTTCCCTCTTGTACTATCTCTCTGGCTCACAAGTAGGTGCTCTTAGCCATTCTACACTTATTCCAGACTTGAGAGGTCTGAGTCAAAGTAGCTGCTTTTAATAAAGGTAAAGGTAAAGGTAAAGGCCCTCCCGTTGATCGTCGATTTGCTCGAGCGGGCCCAGTAACGTCTCCATTGGAGACTTTGTTGTTACTGTGTTTGGCATATCGAATACTCTCGGTAGCTTGCCGGGCTCTCCGAGAGGGGCGGAGGAATCGAACTCGGGTTGGCCATGTTGGCCGCTTGTAAGGCGAACACCCTACCGCTGTGGTATTGCCCATTTTCAGTGTAGCTAAAGTGCTTAGGAATTTGGAAAAAGGGAATAGAGAAATAGTACAGGGGATAGGGCACATGCCTTGCACATAGCTGACCTGGATTTGATCCCCAGAATCCCATGAGGTCCCCTAAGCACTGTGGGAATAATTGCTGATGCAGAGCCAGGAGTCACTCCTGAGCATTGCAGGGTGTGAACCCCCATAAAAGAAGTTTGGAGGGGCTGGATATGGTCCTGTGGGCCCCACTAGGAGTGATCCCTGAGCACAGAGTCAGAAGAAAGTCTTAAGCATTGCCAGGTGTGGGCCTCTCCTCCACCTCCCTGCCCCCCCTTCCAATCGCCTCCCGATCCCTAACCAAAACCAAACCAAACCAGAATTTGGAGCTGGAGCTATTAATAATTTGATCTTAAATTGATATTCTTTGGGCAAGTTATTTAACCTCTCTGAGATTCAGTTTCCTTGTTTACTGTAATTTATAATTAATATGTATTGTGTACTTTATATAGCACTAGCACTATCCTCCCATTGTTCATCAATTTGCTCGAGCAGGCCCAGTATCGTCTCCGTTATGACAATTGTTACTGTGTTTGCCCACATGGCAAAGCTTTCCAGGCTTTGCCATGTGGGCAAGATACTCTCGGTAGCTTGCCGGGCTCTCCAAAAGGGGCAGAGGAATCGAACTCAGGTCGGCAAGGTCTGGCATATAAGGCAAACGCCCTACCCGCTGTGCTATCACTCCAGCCCATACTTTATATATTATGTACATTAAATGTATTACTTTTAAATTATAACATTATCCACTTTATAGTGTCACTACCAGAAAGTAAGTTAATGTGAATAGTGTTATGGGCGTATGCTTCAAATATAATGTCTATTTTTTGTTATGCTCTGGACTAACTGTAGTCTAGAAATTGATTACATTGTTTAGACCAGAGGAGTGTTTATTTATGATTATTACTTTTTATATTTGACTTAGCTTTTAGTTCTTAAAACTTGGCCTGACTAATCACAGGAAAATATTACTATATGGCTTGATTTATTTGGGTAGAATCAGTTGTCCAATACATAGTTTGTATTTTCTAGAAACATAGTATAAGTGACTTTATGATCTTAATATATGACCTCCCAAAGGGTTCATCAAATTAAAAAAACTTGTGTAAAACCAAATATTGTCAGAAAGCAGCAACTATTATTTTGATGCTGGTATCAAAATACTCCACTACCGAACTACCTTCACGCTCCAGGCTGCTTTCTGTACTATGCGGCCACAAAGCGGCCATGCAACACATTATAAGATACTTCCTACTCATTTTCCATAATTACCACACCATATTTGATGGGGTTCAGACAGTAGGCAACAAATCATAGAGAGAAATATATAAATATATGCCTCTCGGAGATACCAGCAAACTACTGAGAGTATCCCGCCCACACGTGCAGAGCCTGGCAAGCTCCCTGTGGTGTATTTGGTATGTCTAAAACAGAAAAGACAACAGGTCTCATTCCCTTGACCCTGAAAGAGCCTCCAATCATTGGGGAAAGATGAATAAGAAGAGGCTGCTAAAAATCTCAGGGCTGGGAGGAATAGAGACATTACTGGCTCCCACTTGAGTAAATCGGCGAACAACAGGATGACAGTGATGCAGTGATTTTAAAATGGATCTTTTTGTTTATTCAGTTTTGTGGCCATATCTGATAGTGCTTAGGGGACCGTGCAGTGTTCTGGATCAAGCCCTGGGCTCCAGTATGCTGAGCACACACTAACTCTTCTAACTCTTTTAGGTAGCTCCAAGTAAAGTGAGTGGTTCTTAATCAAATGGCGTGGGCATTCCAGTGTTAAACTTCTCCAGAAGAGTTTATTTCACTGAATGGATGTCCTATAGTAAATGACCATCTTTGTAATGATGCTGTAAAGACTTGACCTTCCTTGTTGGGATTTACAAGGGTAACAAATGGATGGGAGCCTTGTGGAAGGTTAAGAGAAAGAGACTTATATGATCTGATGGGAAAATGAATAGAGTGGAAGATGGAGATCACAGCAAGGTTTCTGAAGGCTGAGCTGTTAATTGTGAATTGGTCAGATTTTGTACCTGATGGGAATTATTCTTTGGCTGCAGATAAATCCTGTCTCTCTTCTGTAATGATTTGAAAGGTCAGTGTTTATAGGTGGCATCATGATAATGTCTATAGAATCAGTCCATTCTCACGAGAGGTCCAGGGTAATGTATGCGTGGGAAGCTGGGAGTGGACCTGAGCCCAGCAATCCCATTTGTCATCCAGCCTTTCTTTTCCATCACTATGTGGTGACTGTTAAAAAAACTGTACCCAGGGAAGGCTTTTCTACCTCAAAAAGAGGCCAGAGGAGGGGAACAGAGGGATAGTACAGTGGGTAGGGCATTTGCTTTGCATAGATTTGATCCCCAGCATCTCATATGATCCCCCGAGCACCACCAGGAATGCAGATCCAGGAGTTACCCTGGTGAACATCACCGGGTGTGACCCAAAAGGAAAAAAAAAAGCCAGAGGAAATGAATGACTGAGACAAAGGAAAGGAAAAGTCAGGGACTGTGTTTGGTGGATTTGGAAATCTAGTTATGAAGGCAGAGAGAAAACAGGATGCTTAGAAGCCTGATTCCTTGGCTGCTTGGGTAAAAGCATGCATAATCTGGAAGAGGGACCAGAATATTGAGTCTCAGCTTTCCTGCAGACCTGATCATGGCACAGTGAGTCTATGATCGCAGGGCTCTCCAGATGGTCTGGAACAGCTGACGAGGCTCAGTCCAGCTTCTGCTTCTGACGACCAGACTCAGTCCCCCTCTGCCACTGACCACCATTCTCTGGAGCTTGTGGTGGGGGCCAGCCCTTATAATGAACAGATCTGTGTGTCCCTTCAGGGTTACCCTGCACCCAGGGCCTTGGAGAGGTAATAAAATTGAATGTATAATACAAGGATCATTCTTTATTTTTTTGGTTTTTACAGGAAACAGCAAGAGATTGACTCCAAAGATGCTATTATTTTGCATCAGTTTGCAAGACCTAATAATGGTGTCCCCAGTTTGTCTCCTTTCTGTTTGAAAATGGAAACTTATTTAAGGATGGCTGACTTACCCTATCAGGTACTTGTGTGAAAATGTTTTATTTTCATGAACGCTATATTGGTCAAAGGGTGAGTATTTAACCTGACATGGTGGAGAGGGCTTGCTCTGATTACCTAGGTGAAGGATATAAAAGCAGCAGTACCCAATCCTCGGAACTTAGGGGACTGGACCCATGGTGTGTTGAGTTTTATGAAGCATTTAATGTGGGATCAAAAGACTTACATAGAAGCTGCATTGATAGTACAATGGGTAGGGCATTTACCTTGAACATGGCTGACCCTGGTTCGATTCTGAGCATCACCAGGAGTAATCACTAAGTGCAAGGTCAGGGGTAAGGCCTGAGCACTACTAGGTGTGGTCCAAACACACACACACACACACACAAAAAGAAAAGAAAACCCCAAAGTAATCCCCCCCCAAAAAAGCCCAACCCCCACGCCAACCAATCAATTAAAAAACCCCCAAAAGACTTACATATGAATAAGACCCGTGTTATTTTTTTCTGTGAGGTGGAGAATGCTTTAGTTAGTAGTGGATTGCCTGACTAGGCAGCTAATAATAAAAATGAGAGTAAGTGAGTGGGCAGGTGAGTGAGTGGGTAGGTCATTTGCCTTGCATGCGGGTGACCCGGGTTCTATCCCGGGAATCTCATTTGGTCCCCTAAGCAATGCAGGAATAATTTCTGAATACAGAGCCAGGAGTAACCCCTGAGTATCACTAGGTGTTACCGAAAAAGCAAAAAAACCCAAAAACCAAGTGCTGATTAACTTTCTGGGAAATACTGGCTCATTTCGGCATTAGGTTGAGTAGGTTGAATGTATACAAAGGGTAAGATTTCTGGGCGTGGTATAGTACCCGCCATACACATATGAGGTGGCAAGAGCCAGGCAGCTCTGTCATTGTGTTCTCTGGGAGTGCACCACAATCAAGTATGTGCAGGTACTGCAGCTAAAGTGGCGACCTGGTAAGCCCCACAGCTAGGTATGTGTCAAACTGCAGCCTCATGCTGGACCTCATTACAATTACAACAATGACAACACAGAAGGGAAGGGAAAGGGGAAAGAGTATGAAGTTTTCTCTGGTATTGTTCTTATAAATTCAATAATTTCTTTTCTTAACTTCTTACTTAATTCTATTTGTTAAATTTTTTTTATTTGAGGAGCCAGAGAGATAGTACAACAGTTGAGAAAGTTGTCCTGCATACAGCTGACAGCTGATCCTGGTTCGATCCCAGTATCACATATGATGCTAAGAGTGACCACAAGGAGTGACCCCTGAATAAGTCCAGTGTACCGCCAAAACAAAAACAATACAAAATTATATATTTTTTGGTTTGGGGCTGTACCTGGTTGTGTTCAGGGCTTATTTTTGACTATGTGCTCAAGAATCGCTCTTGGCAGTGCTCAGGGGACCATATGGGGTGCCAAGGATTGAATCCGGGTTGGCTGTGTGCAAGGCAAATACATTACTGACTGTCCTGCTGCTCCAGCCCCTCAATAGCTTAACAGGCCTCAGCATGTCTTTATTAGGCTTTCCCTTTTAATATTTCTATGTTTAAAGTCCTTTTCCTTCAGTGCTTTGAAAATGTGAGTTCAACTTTTTCTTTTTCCATCTGTACTGCTAATAGATGTTGATCTATTTCCTTTTTATTTTTCCTTCTAGAAGTTTGTAGAATTTGTGTTTAGTCTCAGAATTCCCCTCTGTCTTTTTGTTATTGTCAGTGCTTCAGTGTGTAGAGGCACAACCTTGGGCGGGTTGTGCTGGAGAGTGCATTCTTGCGGTGGTGCTAGAGATCCAGTGATGTGCAGCAGTGTAGGGAATCCAACTTGCTGCTTCTGCTGGTTGGTTGCTCTGCCTGTCAGTCACATCTCTGGGCCTTGTAATTTTAGCATTTCAAAATCTTTCAGTAATATGCTTTGGTTTGGGTCTTTATATATTTTGGCACTTTGTATGTTTTTAAAGCCGAGGTCCTGAATCTCTTTGATTTTATTAATTTTTTTGCTTCTTGGGTCACACCTGGTGATGCACAGGGGTTAGTCCTGGCTTATGCACTCAGGAATTACCGCTGGCGGTGCTCGGGGGACCATATGGGATGCTGGGAATCAAACCCGGGTCGTCCGCGTGCAAGGCAAACACCCTACCCACTGTGCTATCACTCTAGCTCCTGCTTTTAGAGACTTGCTAATTTTTTTCAAATAGTTCTTCTTTTTCATTTTTATTTTTTATGGTTGTTGGGCCACACCCATTGGTGCTCAGGGTTTATTCCTGGCTCCGCACTCAGGAATTACTCCTGGCAGTAGTTGGGGAAGCATATGGGATGCCGGGGATAAAACCCAGGCCAGCCACTTGCAAAGCAAGCACCCTACCCGCTATACTATTGCTTACAGCCCCCATTTCTCCTTTTAAAATGTGTTTTCCCTCTCTTTCCCATTCTATAATATCTATATACGGAACCTCTTGTTCTGTTTCCATTATTTCTGAACTTCATTCTTTTCTTCCGAGAGAATTCCTCTGCGCTTGCATTGCATTTTTTCCACTTGTGCATGTCATGCTATTTATCTAATCTGTTGTCGTCTTCTTCTGTTTTATTATTATTATTATTATTTTGCTTTTTGTGTTACACCCAGCGATGCACAGGGTTTATTCCTGGTTCATTCACTCAGGGGTAACTCCTGGCCATGCTCGGGGGACCATATGGGATGCTGGGAATCGAACCTGGGTCAGAATGTGTGCAAGGCAAACGCCCTACCCGCTGTGCTATCACTCCAGCCCCTTCTTCTTTTTTTTAACTAATTTGTTTTCTTTTTTGTGTTTTGGGCCTCACCTGGCAATGCTCAGGGCTTACTGCTGACTGTGCACTCAGGGATCACCCCGGGAAGGGCTCAGAGACCTTATGTGGGCTTGGCTATGTGCAAGACAAGTGCTTCCCTTCTTGTACTATCACTCCAGCCCCTGGATTCCTGGCTTGGGAAGTGCGTTTGTGGAGGTCATCGGGTGAGTGGGAGAGCAGGGAAGGAGTGGTCTGCTTAGTAAAGTAGAAAGGGGGCCTTTGTACCTAAGAATGTCAATGGTGAGACCACAGACAGAAGCTGGGAGGACGTTCTCAGCTAGCAGCACAGGAGAAAATGGCAATAGAGACAAGGATCGAATCATGTAAATACTTTTGACTCAGGCTGGTTTGGCAGTGAGAGCTTGAAGATGTCTCTGCTGAGGGACTCACTTCCAGGGCGAGACTGCTGCCCACTCATCGTCACTCTTGAACCATTGCTCCCTGAGCCGAGGCACCTTGGGACAATTAGGGTCCAACCCTGATTTTTTTCTCTTTCAAAATTTATTTATGAGTCTCTGGAACAAGGCTGGTAGATGAGCTTACAAGGTGGCCGTGGTGGGATGTGGGTGTGGCTGCTTGGGCCTCCAGAAATACAGGGAGGTGGTAGGAGGTCGACCACGCTGACTCAGAGAAGGCCTGTTGTTTTCAGCCATCGAAACCCATGCACCTGACGATTTTGGCAGATGAGTTTCTCTGTGGCACTCAGTCCTGAGATGGTGGGGTCTGGCTGGAGGCATGACAACAGCTTTGGTGTGTGGGAGCAGCTGTGGGCTGCCAGGGCTTTGTTTGGGTGGCAGCGACCCAGCCTCCCTCTGAGGATACTCCAGAGGTCTCAGCTGAGAATGAGTATCCAAGAAATTTTTTACAGCTTGGTGATCTCTCTTGAGATTTACTTATGAGGGGTCCAACCCTGAATTTTGTGCTGTGTAATGCATTGCTCACCTTTTCTGCAGTCCTGCGGTTTGCAGTCTCTATGGGATCTGCCAGGCGGTTCTGCTCTTTGCTATCTTGTCTTCAAGGCGTTAAGCTCTGTTTGCTGCAGAGCTGTTTTTGCTAGCTGCCTGACTGCCTTTGTTCCTGTTCTCAGAGCAGCTGCTTTGAGTCTGGATAGCTGGAATGGCAGGACACGTCTCACTGGGAAGCCTGAAGCAATTCCAGACATCATTGAGAAAGAGAATGCTAACCTCTTTAAGATGGTTATCATTTGTTGAACATACTTTTGTTTTTCTATTTTTTTTTTTTTTGGTTCTTGTCTTTAGGCTACACTCAGTGTTGCTCAGGGGGCCCTTTATTTATTTATTTATTTATTTATTTATTTATTTACTTTGCTGGGCTGGAGCGATAGTACAGTGGGTAGGGTGTTTGCCTTGTGTGCGGCCCACCTGAGTTTGATTCCTCTGCCCCTCTTGGAGAGCCTGGCAAGCTACCAAGAGTATCCCGCCTGCACGGCAAAGCCTGGCAAGCTACCTGTGACGTATTTGATATGTCAAAAACAGTAACAAGTCTCACAATGGAGACGTTACTGGTGCCTGCTTGAGCAAATTGATGAACAACACAACGGTGCTACAGTGCCATTTACTTTGCTGCTGCTTCTTTTTTTTTTTCAATTGAATCACTGTGATACAGTTACAAAGCTTTCATGTTTGAGCTTCAGCCATACAGTGATCAAACACCCATCCTTCCACCAGTGCACATTTTCCACCACCAATGTCCCCTGTGTCCCCACCTCCACCCCATCCCAGTCCTCACTCTGCCCTACAGCAGACAATTTCCCCAATACTCTCTCTCTACTTTTGGGCATTATAGTTTGCTCAAATTTTCCCGCCACCATTTAAGCCTACCTGCCAGATGCTAGATAATTTATTTTCTATTGCTCACTTTGAATACCACGAAAGGTCACGTGCACTTCTGGAATTCTACAATTGTAAATGGTTGGGGTCCAGGGACATCTCTGTAGGGCACTAATCCACTTTGGGATTCAATTGGGGGTCTCTGAACCAGGGCTGTTGGTGCGCTGAGGTGGTGCCTGGAGGCAGATTGTGGGCATGACAGCCAGGATCCCTAGCGGCCAGGGAGCTGGAAGGGACGGCCCAACTCTACTGCCACCGCAGTGCGGCCTGCAGTCTTAGTTCAGGGACCATTTAGTCCTAGGGATTGAACCTGGGCCTCCCACATACAGGTGTGTTTT